CTCTCGACTCCAGTCTAGGCGTCTCTTCCTGGCCTCCTGGATGGATTTTCTATCATAAAGTTTCTAGAGCGGACCCTGTGGCACGCAGGCTCCTGGTCCTTCGTGGTTTCTTCAAACAGTTGACAGCCCCTAGACCTCAGCACCGAGTCCCCTCATTCCCCAAGTAGAAAGTCCTCCCAGGAGTTAAGAATCCTCTACAAACATTAACTTTGTATCAAAACACAGGGTGAACAGAGTGGTTTCAAACTGAATTGAGAAGAGACTTTGCTCTGGCATGGCTGGTGGAAGAAAGGGAGGGGCAAGAAGAAGAAGTGCCCAGTGGAGGCGAGTTCATAGATGCAGTAAACAGCATTGGTGCAAACGCATCTCTGGTGGGTTACTGGTTTAGTCTAAGCCCTTTCATGTAAAACCCACGAAGCACGGGAAGCATGCTAAAAACACAAAATTTAAACTGCAATAATGAAGATTTCCTAGAATAAAATGCTGATTGCAAAACAAAATGGGAGAAAACCAAGCATCACGAAGTTTACACTCCCCTGCACATGAGCAGAGGCGGGCCTTTGGGGTTTGGAGCTGGTAAGGAACCTCCAGTCCAGTCCAGGACAGTCTCCAAAGGGGAGGAAGAGCACCAGTTGGGAGAGGGGACCAGCTGCACTGAGACTGTGTATTTCTGGTTAACCAAGGAGCGCCTGGGCTGATCTACACTCACTTTAAGGACCCATACCTTTCCTTCCCTAAGAAAAAGAAATCAAGGGTTTTGTTTGTAAAGAGGTGAGGGTCGGTAGGTCGGGAAGATCTCAGGACCATAAGAAGGGACTCAGAGAGGGAAGCATCCTAAGCAAGGATGCTTTATCTCTGTTCCAGAGACAAACACGACTTCCCTTTAAACCATCTGCTAAGCAGAAATTGAGATATTCTTGCCAGGGGTAAAGAATTTGACATAATTTGTTACCACAGGCATTCTTACCCAGGAGGTTTGTATAAATTGGTAATTAAAACAAAGTTCAGAGAGGTTTTGCTGTGATGTAGTGGAAGCAGAATGGGAGTGGACACCTGGGCCTGTGCTACAGGTTCCTTTGTCACTTGCTCAGGTGTGACTTTCAGGTAATCAGCTGGTCTTTCTAAGCTTCAGTTTCCTTACCTCTAAAGGGTGGATGAGGATCATGTGCCAGTGCCATGATGTGCGTAGAAAAGCATGTACCTGTGAATTCTATAAGGAACAAATGCAGGATTTAGTCTTTGTAGATGTGGGGGTCTCTGCCAGGGGCACAGTTTCCATAGGCAGAAATAAGATCTCCGAGAGAGTTTTGACAAAGAGCCCTTTCCTGTTCAGAAGATCACCAACCTTTTTATCTTGTTGGAGTGCAGGGCGATATTGAGACCCCTAGGAAGAGAAAGGCTCTAGGTCAGCTGACCTGCTCCTGGCTGGGGCTCTCACTGCTCTCCTCCATTGTCCTTCCAGGACTTGCCTAGCATCCTGTAATACCCATCAAACTATAAGTGGCATTTCTTGCAAGTTTAGAGAAATAGATACCACTGTCACTTGAATGAGGAAGGGAGCCTTTAAAAATCCCTGATAAGTTACCCATTTGAATTGGTAGAAACTAACAATGTGTAGAGCGGGTGTTTGTCTTAAAGAGTATCTGTGGACTCCCCAATATCACTGGCAAAATGGGAGTATTCTGAGAATAGGCTCCAAAGCTTCCATCATGTTTTCAAAAAGACTCCTGACCCCCAAATTAGAAACTACTGGTATACAAGGTTATTCCAAGCCCTGACTGGATTTTAGGTTTGATGCTATTTATTGTTCAGTCTCTGGGTCTTAAAACCTTTTAGGGCCTAACAGCCAAAGTACATAGAATCCTCCAAGTGCAGAAAATCAGAGAGGGTCTAGTGACAGTGATATTCACTTGCTGAATTTCCCCCCAAACCCATTGCCCACCACCCCATCTACAAATGAAATAATTGCCTTCTTTCTTTCTAGGCTTCTGGCCAATTATCTTCTCAACACACACACACACAGAGAGAGAGAGAACGAGAGAGAGAGAGAGAGAGAGAGAGAGAGAGAGAGAGAGGAGCGTCTTTAATATTATCAGTCCTGACTCCACTTTCTATTTTATTTATTTTTCAGACACTTAATGCATTGATTTAGTGAACACACTATATTTACTTCTATATTTAATTACTTATATTTAAATTATTCCATGCAAAATGACAAAAAGAAGATAAGAGGAAAAAGCTACAAAATAAATAGGGACCCATCCCTAAAAAAATAAAATAAAATAAACAAAACAAACACACACAAAAACTGCTCTCCAGTCACTCAGAAAGAAATTCTTAGAAGTGGAAACTACTGCAAACCCCTACCCCAACTCAATCAAAACATCCCATCCGGAAAAGAACGACTTGTTTCTTTTTTCTATTGGAAATGGGCGGTAAACTGAGTTCATTTTGGCCATGTTTTCTTAGCTGACTCTGGGCTACAATCAAGCCATTTTCGGACACATTCCCATGTAGGTACCAGGGGTGCTCTGGAGGAAGCTGTCGACGCCTGTTCAACTAATTTAGGTTTTCTTTGTCTAATTACTGTGGAGCTTAGGGAAAAGGAGCCCGGCTCAAGGCAGTAAACTGACACTCAGTCTCTGTGTGTGGTATCCAGGCAGGGTTTGATGGAAAAAGCCTGCTTCCACTCAACTTCAGGTCACTGTCTGGGGCCAGACCCAGCCCAACCCCCAGCCTCCTCCTCCCACCATTCCCACTCTTCTTTTCTACAGCCCCACTGGCACACGCAGCCAGGAGCAGTCCCCCAGGCACTTTAGGGGCACAGATAGCTAATGCCAGCCCCAAGAGGCCTGGTTTGGTTCTGTTCCACCCAAGGCTCTTTGTTGCCCACCATTCACAGGATCTCAGCACAACTCCCCCTTCTCCCGACCTAACATCTCCCCAGGTTTCTCAGCACTCAGGTTTGCACCTTGCTCCTTTCAGAGTGGAGGCAGAGGTGTGCCCAGACCTGCCTCCCATGTGGTCCTCTGAAGTACCCCCCCTTCCCAACAGCCCCCATCAGCCCTTGTGTGGCCGGCCAGCTCCCAGGCCCGCTGCTTTCCACCTCCTATGTCCAGCCCCTGTTCCCGGTCAGACTACATTTCCTTGCACGTGCAATCCAATAACTAACTGTCCAGTCACACTGGAACTAATTCCTCCCAGGGCACAACTTCTCTCCCAGGCAGACTCTTACTCAGAGAGGAATTAGCCACACTGTGGTGGTGTATTTGCCCAGAAAACATACCTTCCCCATAATTGTGTTGGTGGACAGCTTGAGAGTGAGGATATAAATCTAGTTGCAGTAACACACCTCGTTCTGGACGGAATATAAATACATCTATCTCACTTATCTCACTCAGCACCAGCCTTCTTTTTGCATTTTTTACAAAGCATCAAGAGAAAAACACAAAGGAAGTGCAAACAAATGCAAAATAAGTCCTATTCGACCAGACTTCCAGCTTCTCTAAAGTCTTCTCTATCTAAACCCCTCTTCTCAAAGTTCAGCAAACGCTCATGATTGCCCCAAGCCATAACCCTGGGGCGCTAGGGCGCCCTGGCTCCTCGCCCCGTCCTCTACTAACAATTGTGGAGCCTGCAGGTCCTGTCTGAAAGAGAGAGGACTGGCACGTTACCTTTGGGCGTCTGGCACCCTGGCGTGCTGAGTGCTGCAATGTCTAAATGAAGTTGACAGATGGTGTCAGTGCGGGCACCGGAAGAAGACAGCTAAGAAGGCTCCCAGCGGCGGGCAGCCGCACCAGTGGCAGCACCACTGGGCCTGGGACAGGCAAGGAGGAAGAGGAGGAGGAGGAGGAGGAGCAGGAGGGGGGAGAGTAAGGAGAAAGGGGAGGGAAGATGGGGAGAAGGAGGAGAAGGGGGAGGAGAAAGGAGAGGAGCGATAAGTCCAATCCACTGAGGTCAGCTAGTGTCTGGGATAAGCGGCCAGGGTGCTGTAAGGGACAGAAGGAATATTTCTTAAAGCCATAGGTGGTCGAGGTTTGCTTGGGGTGGGGGTCATCCTAGCAAAAAGGGGAATAGTCTATGATCGCCTCCTTTTAAGGAAGGTGGGTGGGGGAGAGGGAAAGAGGCCCTGAGAGGAATTGAAAGACCGAGGGGGACCCTGTAGGACGAGGAAGGAGATAAGATAGGAGCCCTGCCGCCAGGTTGGGAGTGGGGGGCAGTTTGAGGGCCCAGGAGGAGCGTGCCCTCCCCCAGGCGGCGGCGGGAGGAGGGGACAGGGAGGGGTAGGGGTGGAGGG